CTGCCCGTGCGCAGAAGAGCCCCGGCAGCAGCTTTGTGTCCTGGCTCTGCGGATGCGGGAGCAGGGCCCGGCCGTTCTCACTCTGCGCACTGTGCTGCGGGATGGCCGGGAGCAGGCGGCGAGCGGTTGCACGCAACTGGACTTTAAGGTGGGAAAGGAGTGAGAGCGATGCCGGGGGCACCGCTGCGGAGCTCACCGCGTGCGGGAGGGGGCCAGCAGCCGCTTTCTGTCCCGGCGCCCTTGCTCTGGGTGCAGGGGACGGACGGTCCCGCTCTGCGCGCAGTGCCACGGGGCGGCCGAGGGGAGGGGGGCGCGCCGGAGGGGGTTCATGCGTCTGGACTAAGTGGGAACGCGAGGAGCGGAGCACCGCTCCTGGCATCGTTGCGGGGCTCACTGCGTGCGGGAGAGGCCAAGCACCAGCTCCCTGCCTGAACACGTTGTTCTTAGGAGCAGGGGCTGGATGTTAGCACTTTAGGTAATTCATTTTTTGACCGCTTTCGTGGGCTGTCCTGAGCCATGTGTCTTCTGTTGTCTGATCTGCTCTAGGCGATCCCCACGGTGCTGGCCTGGGGCTGGGGCTGGGGCTGTAGCTGGGGGTTGTCCGTGCTCAGCACATGCTCCACAGTGACGTGACTGCCTTGACCTTGGTCCAGACAGGTTTGGGTTGGCTGCTTTTGCCGTATCTGTTCACAGAAGCTGTGCTTGACTGAATGGAAAACCTTCAAACAAGATCAGCAGGGTCACAAACGAGCTTTCAGACAGACAGCATAAAACAAGGTCTCCCACAATCACCTACACCCAGTGAGCTCTGGAACGGTGTAACGGATGGGAACCTAGCTGGGAGTTGATTCCCTCCCACGACTGAGAACCATAACAAAGGATGTTGCTTGCCACAGTGCATTCGGCAGTGTTTGTGTTCGTCGCGACTGCCTGAAAGGGGCAGGAGCCGCAGACCAGGCGGGTGCAGCTGTCCTATGAGCTCCACACTTGGCCGCACGGGGGCGCCTGGGCAACGCTCTCGGTGCGGCCGGCGCTGAGGTCGCGAGAAGCTGCACGGCCACACGAGTAAACGGTCAGAGACCCGGCACAAAGCCGTTGTTTTGATGGGGGTGTAAAAGCGGGACCTTCTTGTGGTCATCTGCTGTGCGGAGTGAGGCCTCACCTATGGGTGGAAGCCCCACACAGGAACTTCCCAATTACCTGAGACTCCCGGCATCGCCTGCAACGGGGCTTCCCAGCTGAAGTGTGGGCCTGGAGTATGGTTTGGTGGTGACTGGTGATGTCTTTCTTCTTAATCTCTGTTCTCTCTATACAGTCATGATCTAATGCATTTCTAACTTTCTTTGGTAGTTTACTTATATACCTATATCTCTGATTTGCCTTACTGTGCTTATTCACTATATATAGAATTACCTAATTCACATTAGTGTGCTTGCTTTTAGTGTGTTTTTTGGCTTTAGTGTGCTTGTTTAATAAACCCTGCATATTATACAGCTAGTGTGTGGTCACTTTGTGGCATACCCTGTCTGTCAGCAGAACAAATGGTACCACCAACATGGCTATCCACCCTTGATCTGGCACCTAAAACTCCAATCTGTACACTGCGTCTGTATTGACTGTACTCAGGTGTCCTTGAGCACACCTCTGACAGTGCAAATGGCCAGGCACCGCTAACAGTACTGACTTGCTGGCCTCAGAACCCCTTTTGCTCTATCTCTCCCTTAAATAGTTCATATATTCTTTGGACTATGCCTTGCTCACAGCAGGCAGTAATAACATAAGCTGAATCTAATCCTGATTTTTTTGTTTCAAAGCATTTCATGTGTCACTGTTGATAAGGAGGGAGAAATAAGCACAGGACAGATAACACAATGGAAGGGTCAATACGTGTCTGTAGAGGAATTTAGTCTGAGTCCTATGCCTCCTCTGCTCTTCCACAGCTGCTGTGATAGCCTAAAACAGAAGGAAAGATAATTACTCATCGACTACCCAATGAGTAGAAGCAAGTGCCTGGGCCAAAAGGCTGATGAGGTCTCAGCCTACCTTGGGCCCCCTTGCACTGTCTGTGAGAGAGGATACTGGCGCACAAAGCTGCCGGCACCACAGGCTTAGCATCAGGGTCTGGATGTTCACACTTGAGCTGGTTTTCAGGTCAGGGGAGAGTGCTGTTTGTCCAGTGAGGCTTTACACAGATGGAGTTTTAGATGGGTGAGGCTATCCATGTTGGTAGCACCGTTCTGGTGGGCACGCCGTATAGAATGTGCCCAGCTATTTGGTTTTGTCCTAACACATTTGGCTTAGGGTTGGAAGGATAGGCATCTGTTTAGATGGAGTTTTAAGTGGGAAAGCAAGAAGCGAGAGCAATGCTGGTGGCACCGTTGTGGAGCTCACCGTGTGCAGAAGATGCCCAGCGGCAGCTTTCTGTCCTGGCTCTTCGCCTGTGGGCGCAGGGACAGGACAAGGGGAAAGGCTTTAATCTGCCGGAGGGGAGACTGAGATGGAGTATTGGGAAGGTCTCTTCCAGCCTAACCCATTGCGGGATTCTGCGTCGGGCGGTGGGGCTCTAGGACCCAGCGGGGCAGAGCGGGGATTGAAACCCCCGCGTTGATTCCACCGCGTGCGGCCCTGTCCTATAGAAACCTGCCCAAGTGCCCTTAAACCCATCCAAAACGCCCCAAACATGCCCAAGTTACCCAAATCCGGCTCAAATTGCCCCAAAACCCACCTGAAATGCCCCTCAACACCTCTCTCCCACAGCCCAGCACTCCCCACCCAGCCCGGCCCCGGCTTTGACCCCAGAAACGCCCACCGGGAGCCCGCTTCGGAGCCCAAAGACGCAGGACCCAGGCTCCGGAGCTCGTTCTGCGGCCGGGAAACGCTCGGCTGGGGCCGTGCTGCAAAGCCCCGGGTCCCGAGCACCAAAACACCCTCCAGGGCCCCCAGATAGCCCCAGGAGACCCGAACGGGCCCCGGCTGAGCCCTGCACCCCCGTGTGCTGTGGGACGGCCCCGGGAGCCCCGGCAGCGCTTGGGAACGGGGCGGGGGGACCCGCGGGGTGGGCCCTGCTCCGGGTGGCCGCGGGCGAGGACAGGGAGCGCCGGCTCCAGCCCTCGGGCTTCATCCCCCGAGCCCCGCCGCTGCTCTGTGCGCTCCGCAACGGGCCCCGGCTCCCGGTGCCGGCCCCGGGCCGAGCTCCCCCCCTCCCCTCACATAGGCCCGGCCGGGGGAGCACGGACCAAGGCCTGCGGCAGGAACGAACCAAATGCGGGGGGGGAACGGACGCACGGGACGGTGGCCGTCGAGGCTCAAATCTCCTCGGTCCCGCCCTGCGCAGCTGCTTTCTCCGCTGATTCTTGGGGCAATCTGCTCCAGTGGAAGGTGTCCGGGCCCGTGGAAGTGGATGAGAGTTCAGGTCACTTCAGCCAAAAACATTGCATGATTCCATGAAGCTGGAGCTTAATTCCTGGTTGACAGCATCAATGTGACAAAGCCCAAGGCAGCAGCGTTGGTGTGAAGGTTGATGTTGGAATCATTCCCTCCCCGAGCGGTGCTGATGCAATTGCAGATGTTCTTTGAGAAATAAGAGATCACTTTCGCTGTTCAACACCCAATATCTGGTCTCTGGAGGCAGGAACGGGTGGAATTCTGGCTGGAATTCTCATCTAGCACTGCTTCCCTTCTCCACAAATGGTGCTTTGCTCCTAAGTGATGGTTGTGATTTGGGAATGGAGGATGATGGACCATGGCACTGCTGCCATGGGGAGAGGAAGTCGCTGATAGCTGTGATCTCCTGTGGATGTAAGTCCTTGTGATGATGGTAATACTGAACTATAAATGCTCTCCCTGGTGCTTCAGCTGCCAACAGCTCAAACCAGCACCAAACACAGCCCTGGTTTCCAACAGGGGTGGCAGAACCAGCTCAGAAGGAGGAAGGTTTCCACATCAGACCTTGTGGTTGAGCCTGCAAATCCAACAACCCTTTTCCTTCACACTTCTATGCTCCCTAAAGGCTTTAAAACAACCCCACCCTTCCTTTTGTCCTTCTCACACACTCATGCTGTGGAGTTTCCCCATCCTCAGGCTTTCCTTAGCCCCAGAGGGCTCCATCTGCCTTTTACTCGCTCGGGGACCCCTCTTTTGGTCTTTGAATGTTCTAAAGCCTTTAACCAGAGCTTAGAGCAGAGCCTTGAGCCCACAGGACATGGCCTCAGGTCTGGAAGCTTTTGGCATCAGCCACCTCCCCCACACCCCCAACTGCTGGGGCTCTTTGTGCCTCCTGAACCCCTCACCTCAAACTGCTCTGGGGGGTGCAGCCCCAGCACACGGGGTGGGGTCTGGTCAACAAGAGGATGAGAACCCTGCAGGGCTGGGGGCGCTTCCAGGCTCCGGGGTGAGCCCAGCTCTGAGCTTCCCACCAGGTCCGAGCCTGTGATTTGCCTTTCCTTGCCCTCACATTGGCCCTGACTGGTGGTTCCTCGTGGTTCACCTTGTGATGCTCCTTCCCCCAGCACACAGAAGCTCTTTCTTGGCTCCAGGAGCTTTCCTGACATCCCATTTCCTCCTCCTGCAGCTTCCTTCTCCTGCAATCCCCTGGTATTCTCCTCCCTATCTCAGTGCGTTTTCACCTCATAAAGCCAGTTCCTCTAGCAAGGAGCTCCCTTTGTGGGTATCTTGCAGTTAATAGGATCGTAGAATGGTTTGGGTTGGAAAGGACCTAAAGATCATCCAGTTCCAACCCCTGCTATAAAATGCCATTGAATGGCACCACAGGGATGGTGCCAACCCAGCCCAATGCCTGTTTGTGGGGTCACTTGGATTGTAGTCAACCCATGGCCATTATCCAGAAGAAAACACCATGCAAAGAGCCATTTCCATCCCAGTTTCCTCCATGTTGCTGTGGGATTGGGGCCAGGGGCTTTGGAAGAGCTGAACCCCAAGTGATGGTGTGCTAGGATCAGCATCCCCAAGAACTCTTCATCAAAACGAAGTAAAAACACCCAAATCCCTCCCTGTGGCCTCTGCTGTTGGCATATTGGGGTTAGCACCCATTATAGGGATGCTTCTGGTGCTTCCCGGGCTCCAATCTCAGGTTCCCCTCTCTTCCCACCTCCCCATGGGAAGCAGCTCCGGGATAAGTGGGAACTGGGATAACTCCTTTGCCAGGTGAATCCTGATGTGTTTCCAGAGGTTTTGCCCTGAGGTTTGGCAGGAGCAGCGTGGGAATTCTGTGCCAGGAGCTGGGAATTTCGTGTTGGTGGATAGAAATCCCGGGCGGTGCCGGAGCAAACACTGTGCCTTTGTCACCACAACGATGTTTTCCAGTCCAGGATTCCTCCGTTGCCACCCTTTGTACGGCCTGGATAAGGGGCACAGTCGCTGTTGGGTGCTCAAAGAAGCTCATCCTGAAGGCCCTGGTCCCATTCCACACTTCCCTTTGGAAGCTGCATCCTTCAGGAATACCTCCATGGTGAAGGTAACTGATGGCTGATACCAGCAGTGGGGTTTTGGGAGGCAGGTTTTGACAGGACACCAATGGGGTTCTCTGCGTTGTATCTTCAACAACGTGTCTTGGGGTATTAAGGGTAAAGCTGGAGCTGGGATCTAGACAGTAGCCATCCCTAAGGACACCCTGGTGAAGAGGGTGCTTGGACACCAGGAGCTGCAGCCCTAAAATCGAGTCAGAAAAGGCTCATTCCTTGATCCCAACAGCATTCCAGCTAAAATCTGTGCTCCCCACTGCCATAGGGCTGGAATCCCTCTACTCCCACTGTAGATTGATGGTTCCTTATGGTTTCAGGGAACTTTGGGGGCCTGTTGGGAGATTTAGGTTGGATTTAAGGAAGTTCTTCTCTATGAGGCTGGTGGGACAGTGGGATAGGGTAAATGGAGAAGCTGCCCCATCCCTGGCAGTGTTCGAGGCCAGGCTGGATGGGGCTTGGAGCAACCTGCTCTAGTGGAAGGTGTCCCTGCCCTTGGAACTGGATGAGCTTTAAGGTCCCTTCAATGCAAAGCATTCCATGATTCCATGCCTGTTTCTTTCCCTGCCAGGCCCTGGGTGCTCCAAGTAGGTGTCACCTCTGGCATCCCAAAGCTGCTCAAAGGTCCCTGGTGCCACCCATGGATGCCAAACAAAAACATTCCCTATGGGATAAACCTGCAGCCTAATGAATAATGAGTGGAGAGACAGAGCCAAGGGTCAGGGTGGGTTCAGCCCCATTGTAGTGGGAGCAGAGGGGTTCAGCCCCATGACAATGAGAGCAGAGGGGTTCAGCCCCATGGCAATGGAGCAGAGGGGTTCAGCCCCCATGGCACACAGTGCCTGAGTCACCCCGGCTCACCCTGCCCTTATCACAGCTCTGCACCCTGACCTGCTCCATGTATCCCGTGGGTTGTTCCGGGTTGGAACAACTTCCTACAGTGAGAAGGAATTCCCCCCCTCGGGGAAACTGAGGCATGGCTCAGCGTGCTTTGGGGTTACCTGTTGCTCCGGCTGTGATGGATTATCCATGATCCCACCCAGGAGGATCCCTGGGAGTCAGGAAGCAGCAGGTCAGACCCTCCAAGGGGCTGTTGTTGGACCCTAAATCCCAATGCAGAAGGGAATAGGGGGGGAAAGGAGGAGGGAAGTGGGGAGCTAGGCTGCATCTGGGGAATCCTATGGGAATGTGTGTCCATTGGAGCAGGGCAAAGGGTTAACGGGGAAAAGGATCTGATTTGCCAAGTGGTTCCTGGTTGATCCCGTGTGTGAGAAGAGGAGGAAAAGGAGGAGGGAGCGGGGTGCAGGGCTCCCATGGGACCGCATCACCAGCAGGTAGGTCCCTGAGCCCCCATCCACACCCGTGGGTGCTGCAGCATCTCTTTGTGTGTGTGTGTGTGTCCCCCTTTGCTGTGGCTGCTCCCTTGGGATGGGACACCGGGATCCCCCCTTTCCATGGTGACAACAATGGGATGAACCCATCTCGCACTGGTCACTTTTCCCCTTGGGGCTCAGTTTCCCCATACACAGAGTTGGAGCATCCTGCAAAGCCCATGGTTAATCCCTGTTGGAGCCAGGGAATCCGGCTCTGCCTCGGAAGGAACCAGGAACAACACCCGAAGCAGGGGTGGGTTCTACCTCCCTCGTGGCCTCGGCTACAAGTGGCTTTTAGGAGGAAGACCCCCCCTTGCTGCTTGCTTCCTCCCTTGGGATCCATGACTCCAACCTGTCCGGGTCCAAAGTGCTACCAGAGCGCTCGAATTGCTGGCTGGGTGCACTGTGGCACCCATTGCCCTCTGCTCCCATTGCCATGGGGCTGAAACCCCTGCTCCCCATTGCCATGGGGGGTGTTGGGCTGCTCAAGGGGTGTCAGAATGCCCAGGGGATGTCAGGATGCTCACGGAGGTGGAAATGTGCCGGAGGGGCGCTTGTGTTAGTAGTGACTGAGCCGCAGCCCGGTGCGGACCCCCGGGTCTTGCCGCTCTTATCCCGGCCGAATTCCTGGGAGCTTAATGAGTAACCGGCTGCGAGGAGCCGAGAGGGTGTTTTGTGTGTTCCTGCTCCCCCCCGGCTGTATTTGTATAGGGTCGGGGGGCCCCATGCAGTGCAAGGGGGCGCACACACACTGCCCGCGGGGGGGAGGCAGCTCTTCTATGGCCATCAGAAACTTTAGAGGCTGTTGGAAGTTTCAAGAGCTTTAAGGCCCATTCCAATCCAAACCATTCCAGGATTCATTCTGTGATTCCACGATTCCCAAACTGGGCAGGGTCAGGTTCGATGTGGGGGATGCTTTTGCTCCACATTCCATCCCTTTTCCTGCTGGGACCAGGGTATTCCAGCCCCGGGCAATGCCTCGGGCACGGCCATGGAGCTGGTGTTGGGATTTGGGGATTGGACTGGAGCAATGGGTGAATCTACTGTGGGGGGTCCTCTTAGCTGAGACCCCACCAACTCGCTTCATGGCTGGTCCGTCCCCCCCCCCCCGCAACGCTTCCCTCCTGCATTCCGCAGCGCCGGGATGGATGATCCCGATGTCTTCCTGGGTCCCTGCGAAGGAGCCCTGTGCGGGTTGCCGGGGCAGAAGCGCCGCTGCATGTCCGCACTGGAGCCGGTTACCGTCCCCGGCCCCGGCTCGGAGGAGGAGGAGGAGGAGGAGGAGGCGGACCGTGTTCAAGCGGTGCCGTTGCGGCGATCCTGCGCCCTCCGCATCGGCTCCCGGGATCCCTTCCGCCGGCACAGTTGGGAGCCGGGCAAGGAGCTGCGCGGGGTCCCCGGCTACGACCACCTCAGGTAGCAGTGACTTGCCCCGTGTCCCCATCTAGCCGTTCATCCCCTCCCCGCTGCTCCATCGGGGCCCTCCCAATACATCCCGAGATGTCCAGGGGGTGTTGGGATGTTCAGGGGGTGTTGGGATGCTCAGGGAATGTTGGGATGCTCAGGGAATTTTGGGATGTTCAGGGAATGTGGGGATGCTCAGGGGGTATAGAGATGCTCAGGGGGGCATCAGGGTGCTCAGGGGTTGTCGGGATGCTCAGGTGAGTGTTGAGATGCTCAAAGGGGTGTCAGGATGCTCAGGGGATTTTGGAATGCTCAAGAGGGGTGTTGGGATGCTCAGCAGGTGTTGGGATACTCAGGGGGTATTGGGATGCTCAGGGGATGTTGAGATGCTCAGGTGATATTGGGATGCTCAGGGGATGTTGAGATGCTCGGGATATTGGGATGCTCAGGGGGGTGCCAGGATGCTCAGGGGAGTGTCAGGATGCTCAGGAGTCGTCAGGATGCTCAGGGGGTGTTGGGGTGCTCAGGGGGGTGTGGGGGTACTCAGGGGGGTGTCAGGATGCTCAGGGGTCACAGGCGCCCCAGGGATGACCAATTTTGAGGGTACCCCCAAAGCCAGGTGCTAGAGCAGGCCTCACCCCATGGGGATGGGGGGCCTGGTTGTGTGTCTCCCTCCATGCCCAGCTGGGGGTCCCCTCTGTCCCCACTGCAGAGTGAGTCTCAAAGGGCTGAGCCCTGATGACACTGACTCCAGCGTGGAGCAGTTGGATGGGCTGGGACATCACCAGAGGGACCCCCGGAGAAACCCCCTTGTCCACAGCAACGATGACCTGGAGTCCCTGCTTTCCCAGGCCGAGGCAGATGAGCGGTGGGCACAGGTAGGAGCCCCCTTCCTCTCCTCTTCATATCACCCAAGGGTGTCCCATCACCCACCTGCAGCCAGGGGGAACGGATGCATGGATGAGCTTGGGTAAGAGCAGAGCCTCATCCCGGGTGGCTTTGTCATCATCCTGAGAACAGGATGCTCCTGCCCAAGCTCTATTTCGGGGATCAGGGAGGGGGATAATAGATGGTGTCCCCGACGCCAACCCCTTTCCCATGGATGCTGGCAGGAGGATGCGCAGGGGTTGCTGATATCCCGGAGCAGGCAGAGCTTCCACAGCTACAGCCTCTCCAAATCCTCATCTCTCGGCATCATCAACAGATCCCCCGATGCAGACGGTGAGTGGCAGCACCCAGAATTGGCCCAGGAATGGGGGAACGCCACGTTTTGCCCCCCCCCCCCCCCCCCCATCCCTGCTTAAACTGGATTCTTGATCCCTCTTCTCATCGCTCTTTCTTTTCTTTTCCCATTGCAGAGATTTCCCTCTTTGCCTCCCAGCAGAGCCTGGTCAATGGGTGAGTTTGGGATGAGGTGTGCTGGGGGGTGAATAAAGCACCTCGAGGACCAGAGGGGAGACTTAGGGATGAAAACGGGGATTTTTGAGGGGTTATGGCTGCAGAGAGGGAGCGGGATAGATGTGACGGGGCCAGGCTGAGACCTGACACACTTCACTCATTGTACATCAGGCTGGTGGGGACGGTGTCCCCCTCCCCCCCGCTGGCATCACACTGTGCCAGCGGCGCCTGTCACAGCCCATTCCCATCCTCATTAGGGCGGTTGTGCCCGGGTGGCGCTGGCCGGAAGCCCCGCGGGGCACAAAGGGGGACAGGGACAAGCCATAGGGGACAGTGCTGCGTGTCCCTGCCCCTCTGTGTCTCCGGGGTCCGGAGCAGGGTTTATCCACCCGAGAGAGCGGGGTCCATGCCCGGAGCACCCCACAACCTGCTCCCCACCTTACAGGGAGTTGGCACTGCTGGGGGTGACCGAGGAAGGGGCCCGTGGTGGAGGGCTCTTCCCGCACCCCGCGAACAGAAGGGGCTCTGTGCTGGGTGCGGAGCCCGGGCTCGCTCCTCCCTGTTTCCAGGGACAGAGGGGGATTGTCCAGGCTGGATCCTCCGTCTCCTGCAGCTCCGGCGCCGGGAGCTGGGGGCAGCTGGAGCGGGAGGCCGGGAGCCAGAGCCGGGAAGAGACCCCCCTGGGCAGGACCCTCAGCTTCATCAAGAGGATGACGGGGAAGACGAAGGTACAGAGGGGAAGCAGAAGGGGTGGCGGAGGGTAATTCCCTCCCTGGAACACGAGGATGGGGTTGGGATTGGGGTCAGTTGATGCTCTGCTCTTTAGAGAAGCCGTGCCTCAATTTCCCCTTCTCAGCCACCTCAAAGGTTTCATCCTTTGGGAGCTAAAATGTTGAGGACACTCCCCCTTCCAGTGTACACACCACCACCCCCCCGGCTAATGTGGGTTTGGTTGTGCTGCCATCTCCCCCTTATCCCCATCCCCACGTTCACACCATCCCGGTGCACCCAGAGCCGCCGAGCAGAGCATGGAATGACGAGCGCTGCCGCATTCCCGACGGGCACCAGTGGGCGAGGTGGGGGACACTTGGGGTCCCCCCTTCCCGCCGTGGGCTGGGGGAGCGCTCCCAGCGGGACTCGTCGGGCTCGGCCGGAGGAAATGAGGTTTTTCCTGGCGTCGGGAATGCTTGTTTGTGCTCTGAGCTCACCGCCCTCCCGGGGCCCCTCCGCTCCAGCCTGCGGCTTCCTGGAGCCATTCCTCCATTTGGGATACTTTGCTCCAGCTTGTTCCCAGCCCGGACGGTAGAGACGGGAAGCAAAACGGGTGGCGGGGGGCAACTCCCTCTCTGGAACGCGAGGATGGGGTTGGGATTGGGATTGGGGTCATTTAATGCTCTGTCGTTTGGGGAAGCCGTGCCTCAATCAGTGCCAAGCCCCCCCCCCCACATCCATCCCTGTGTCTCAGTTTCCCCGTTTCACCGGGAGGCGATGCCTGCCCGTGGGGTGCTTTGGTTGATGGTGTCGGGCATGGAGGTTCCCCCCCAGAGCAGGCCGGGGTTTGATTTGCTGCCATGCGGAGCCGTTAATACCTAGCGCTGGCCCCTTTCCCAGCTGGATCAACCGCCAGCTGTTAACATCATCACGGGGCCATGCTTCCGCCCCCGCCCCACGGCTCTAGTATGGTCCCATCCTGCCGGGTGCTGAGCACAAACAGGGTTAAATCCATTGGTATCCTTATTTTTAGTTAGCAGGAAGTTGTTCAAACCAGGCTCTGCCCGAGACTTGGTTTAGCAAAGTTTGTCCTATAACAAGGAAGGGTCCCCAAAGCTTGGGAGCGCTGGTTCCCCATGGAGGGGATGGATTGGAAAAGAGGGGCGGAGGTGTCAATCCTGATCAATGCAGCAGGATACGGAGCTGTGCACGTGGCGATTGCATCAGGCAGAGCAATGGGAGGGAGACTGGGTGCAGGATAGAGCCCCCCCCAGCATGGTCCCCTGGGGGCAAAAGGATGGTGGAAGGAGGCCCTGAGGCTGGTGGCACCATTGCCATGGTGTGGGACAGATCATGAGGGGTGCTCACAGGTTTGGGGGGGCCCCCATGTAGAGGCTGTGGCAGGGAGGATGGGAGGATGGGTCCTGGTTGCTGCAAGAGGGAGGCTTGGTGATGGGGACCCCAAGAGAGGTGGGGGCCCCAAGAAAGAGGACCCCAGAGGTCTGCAGGTAGCAGAGAGCATCCAGAGCCACTTTGGGGGCACAAGCTGGAGCTATGGGGGGAGGTTGAAAACGGCCATAGGGAGCAGGAGGCCACGAAGGGGAGGGCTGAGCTATTTCAGGAAGGAACCACAATCCCAACGGCCACGGCCAAGCTCGCTGCCACTGCGGGGCCTCGGCGCCATCCCCTCCTGGGGACCCCAAACCATGTCCAGCCACCCCAAGGTGAGTGGTGGGATCTGCTCCGGGCCATGAGGTTCTGCTGCTGGTCTCACCCGAGCACCCACCACCAGCTCCTGCCCTTGCTGCGATGGGGCTCTGTGATGATGGGGGGCTGCGACATGGGCTGAGGGTGAGGGTGACTGGCCTCATAGGGGGAACCCCACAGCTTCCCCTCTGCATCTGGAGCGCCCCCATCTCCTCCCTTCCAGGCTCTTGATGGCTGAGCCATTGCTTCCCCCTTTGCCCTCAGGTCCCATGTGATGCTTGTGGGGCTTTCCAGTGGCTCTGCCATGTAGGAAGAGGCACCAGATATCCCCAGTACCACTGGAGCCTCCCCACCAGTCACATCCTGCCCTGTGGTGCCCGATTTGGGTCCATTTCCACCGGGTTTGGGGCTGTTTCAGGGTCCCCACCCCTTCAGGGAAGGGGGAAGCAGACACGATCCTGGCTGGAGCGGTTTGTGCTCGGGGAGGAAATGAGGCCTCGGGATCAGGTTCTGGGTCAAAGGGGGAGCATGACCACATCCCCTGCCATGCTCTGGGTGGCCTCAACAGGCTTTGCTTCTGCTTTTGGGGCTGTGCTTTACTTCAAACACAGCCTTGGCCAGGCCCAGGTTGGATCATTGGATGTGTTTTCCTGATGGTTTCGTTCCTGCTTCTCGTCTTCTGCGGGAGCTGCACAGCCAGGTGCATCCCACCTGCTTCCTGCAGGGTTTTGGTACATACGTGGCCCTTTCCTTTGCTGCAGGCTATGACTGAGGGAAACTGAGGCAGTTTCCAGGGAGCACTGGCACCTCACAGCAGCATCACTGTGGTTACTCATTAAACCTGCATCTCCCCCAGTTCCAAACCGGCTTTATCCCGTCCCCTTGGGGGACGCTGGGTGCTGCTGAACTTGGAATTGCAGGGACAAAAGGGATTCTTATTGCCTTAAGGAGCTGCTGGGGGTAGCTTTGTCCTGGGGTTTAATAGGTGACACTTGGGTCACTCTTGGCCACAGCTCCTGGTGCTGGCAGATACTGGAGCCATCCCAGTGCTCCAGTTCTCTTGGCAACCTTGTAGAGTTATCTCTGGATACATCCAATAAACCCCAGCTTCTCCTGGCTGGCACGTTAATGTTTAACCCTGCTGAGGTCAGCTCAGCTCCTGGTCCCTATAATCATCTTCAGCCCAACTTCTTGAGGCAGACCCAGTGTTTTCCAGCCCTTTTCCCAGAGCAGCTCGCTTGGGGCATCAATTTGAAATAAAAGCCTGGAAAAAGGCCCCTTTGGACCCGCAACGCAGTGATGGGATCCGTGGGTCACCCCAGAGCTGCCCTTTGGGGGTATTTGGGGCTCCAGGAGCGGTGTGGGGAGTCCCGCAGCAGCCGGGCAATGAGAGATTGGAATCCCATGGGATTGTTTTGCTGTTTTATTCCAGCGCTGGTGGCACCCAAGGATGGGTCAGGGTCCCCCAAAGGTTGATGGTGACCGGGGTGCCAGGGCGACGGGAGGCAGGGAAGCTGAGGCACAAGCCCTGAGCATCCCTGCCGGGGCCCGATCCCTGCCCGATCCCTGCTTGGAGCCGGATACCGGCCCGGTCCCAGCCCCGTCCCGTTTCGAACAAAGGCCCCCGGGCAACACGAGCAGGGGCCGGCACCGCGACCCGCCCCTGGGGGGGGAGGCGGAGCCCGGCGCCGGGCAGGAACGGGCCAGGAACAGGGCAGGAGCGGGGCAGCTCCGGGGATTATGTCCCGCATCGAGTCCCTGGCCCGGGCAAGGAGCAATCGTGCCAAGGTGGGTCCCTCTGGGCGCTCGGGGGGAGGGCATTTCGCTCCCCTGCATCTACTTGTGGGGTGCGGGGTCACACCCATCCAGCATGGGGGGGGTTGGGTCAAACACACCACCCCCCCCAGGCTGAGGGGAACCTCACTGCGGTCGGGGGTGGGGGGTTTTGTCCTTCCCCATCCAGCTTGAGACTTGGTGGGGGCAGGTTTGGTGTGAGGGGTGTCGTGGGGATGGGGTGATGCTCCCAGTGGGGTTTATGCAACCCTTAGCAAAGGGGTTGGGGGGCACAGGGGAGTCTCGGCAGCTCCCCATTGTGCAGGGGGTGTCTCCAGGGAAGGCAATCACCCCCTGCCCGCACCCCACCAACCATCCCACCAGCGACAAGTCGTGGGGCAAAGCAACGGCCCAAACTTCCTCCACCACCTTCCCCCCGTTTCCGCCGAAGCCCTTCGGTGGCGTGGTGAGGAAGTCGCCTTCTCCTCCTGCTGCCCAAGGACGTGGGGACCCCCCCCGGCACCCCGCTTCTCTCATCCACAGCCCGGTAGAGACCAAGCCTTTGGGGAGATGGGGAAACTGAGGCACGCAGAGCCGGGGGTGCTGGGGAGGGGCTCGGACGCCGTCGTTGTGGCCCGGAGCATGTGGCAATCGCGACGTTGGGCAGTGGGGAGGGGGGCTGAGGAGGGGACCCGGCTGCTGCCAAGCGCTGCCTGCACTTGGGCTTTGTGCTGCTGCGAGCGTGCAAGGCGGGTGTGCAAGGCAGGTGAGTGTGCAAGGCGAGTGCGCAACTCGCTGTACCCCAACAGCGGGGGTGCTTGGGGGTGGGGGGGGTCCCCCGATATGGCTCCTATGGTGTGGCCCAACCTTGCATGCAGCGAGTTTGTCGGGTCTGGGGTAGATGGAGGTTTCGGGGTGTTCAGCAGTGGGGTTTGGGGCGCGGTGATGGCACCAGGGCGGGGTGGGGGGAAGTGGTTGTTGATTCCTGCGCCGGCCGAGAGGGGGGAAATGGTGGTTTTTGTTTAAAGAAAGTTTCCTCAATGCCCGTTTCGCATCAGCCAGCGCCGGCCTTGGGCTAGAGGGGTCCGGGGGGTCCCCCCAACTCCCCAGAGCGGCTGCCAGCATCCCTGCTTTAGAAATGGGGGGACACCGCTGTCAGGATATGTGGGACCCCCCGGCTGTGGCTTTACAAAGTGGGGAGACCCCGTCTCCTGTGTCAACACCAGCTTTTGGGGGCAATCCCGGCATTGCAGAGCCTCCCCCTTGCTACTGCCTCCCCCAAAAAGAGCAGAGTCGGGGGTGTCCCCACGCTGTCCCCCCCTCACCCCTCAGTGGCGTCAAACATCAGAGGGGGGCATTTGGGGTTAGAACGAGAGGATTTGTGCACTTTGGGGGACACCCCCCTCTTTTCGGGGGGGGGGGGGGGGGGAACGGGACCATCCCCGCGTGGTTTCAGCCCCGGCTCAGCGGCGTCTTTTGTTGCCGACTGTGCGGACGGGGTTGGCTTTGTTCAACGTCGGGGTGGCAAACGGTGTGGGGGGGCCGGGACCGTCCCCAGCCGAGGAAGGGCAGCGCCGTGACGCCGTTCTGGGGACACAAACCCATCGCCCAGGTCAGAACTTGGGGATTTTTGGCGCTCCGGGGGCTGGCGCGGGGGTTTTCCCACCGGGATTTGGGCTATTTCGGGCGAAGTCGTGGCGGCGGCAGCAGAAACGCTCCCGTTGTAGGCGGCGGAAAAAGAACCCCCCAAACACCTCCGGTTTCTATTTAAAGTGGAGAAACTTCCTTTTCTCCACCAGCCCCGGGGGGGTGCGTGCGGGGGGACCCCCCAAAAACGTGTCCCCACAAACCTGCGGCGCCCAATGGGGGGATTCGGCTCCAGTTTGGTTCTTGGGGAGTCTGGGTTTGGGGGTGATGCTGGGGGAGGGGGGTTGCAGGGTTGTTGGGGGTCCCCCCGGGCACCCCCGTGTGTTTTGGGGGGTCCCCCCGGTGTGCAT